TTGATGTCAAGTTTTATGTAAGAAGCTTTTAAGTATTCATTATTTAGAGGAAGAAGCATTCTAGATAAATAGGTTAATATGTTAGTGCCAACATAGATTTTTAGTAATTAGAGTTGCTATTTGATTAGCATTCAGTGGGAAGCATTGACATTTTGTTGTTTGTTGCTATTAAAGCATCTTCTCTATATTGTTTGTGACTTTATATGAAGTCTATCAAGATGAATGAGGGCAGTTTCACAGGGGTGTGTACACAAAGATGTCTACTGTGATGATATCTATAGTATCAAATAATTGGAAACAATCAGACAGCTTAATCAGCGTGGTTTTTTATATAATGGTATAGCTACACAGTAGAATACAATATAACCAGTAAAGTTAGGATGATTTTGAAAATATTTAGTGATGTAGGAAACCACATTCTAAAAGCAGTATATAAAACTATGAATAGCATATATCTAAAATAAAGCATATATCTAATTTAAGAAAATAATATCTCTGGGTCAGTAGAAGCTAGCTTTTTTGGTGGGTGAGATGGCAGATATTTTTTGTTTTTATCTTGATGCTTTTCTGTATCTTCCAAATCTTAGGCAATAGCCGTGTATTTGTTTGATAATTTGAAAAAGAAAGAAATGCTTTAACGAAATACAGAAAAGTGGATGTCAGGGCTGGGAAATCTATATATTATTCTCAAATCTTGTTTGAAACTTATTTTATCTTTTCTAGGGGTGACAGACGTTTTGAAAAACCAGGACGAAAAGATGTAGGTAAGGTTTTCTTAGTGTTTTCAAGTATTTTTAGCTGGAGATCCATGACACTACTAGTTCTTAACAAGGCTCACACATAAAGATACGTTTATTAAAAATCGACGCAGTTACCCGCACTTCTCCAGTAGATGGAGTTGTAACATTGCTTGCATTTAAGATCCCCTGGTTATTTGAGGGCTCTGTTGCATGAAATCAGGGATGATGAGTACAGCCATTAGGATTTGCTTGATTTATTAACTTTTTAGGTCTGTGTGTTCTCGGCAAGGCATATATTTGTATTTAAGCCTGTGTTGTGAACTGAAATTTCAAGTTAAGAACCAATCTGTTAACTCCTTTTCACATGTAGCTAGCATTTCACAGGTGAGAAGAGAGAGAGAGAATGCTAAAAGTTTTGCTTTTGTATCTGAGAGAAAAGGCTAAAACTCTGAATCTTCTTGCTTCAGTCATTTATTCACCTGGTCCTTTTGATGTAGTCTTTCTTTTTTTCTTATTTTGAGATGAGAACAGTCAAAATAAATTACATAGTTAAGGTAGCTACTGAAGGAACATAGTAAGAGAACAGTGTTTTGGTGTTTGTGGTGAATTAACTGTGGTTTATATTAAAGAATCTATAATGTTAAGATGGATTTTCTGACTGCTTAAAGGCACTGCCTTACAAACTGCCAGTGGGTATTAATGTCTGAGAGAAAAAAATGCCAGTTTGTAGTAACATTGGAGTTAGGAAAATTACCATACAAGTTCCAAATTCCTAGAAGTACCAGAAAAGTTCTCCAGAGCATAATTGTATCTGACGGTGGTAAACACATCTCAAAACCATATGTTAAATATGTAAATATTGTTCACAGACTGATTTGCAGATTTTTTTAAAAACTAAGTAGTTATAACAGTCAACTTTGCATCGCTGTTTCCATATCAAACTCTTTTTAACATATCAATTATTTACATTTCTTATTCATTAACATGGCATTGGGGATAATCAGGTATATTTATATTAACGAAAAACTATTAAATGAGTATAGCATGAAGAAATTTGGAACAGTCTGGGTGGATAACTTATTGCTAGTTGAATGGCTTTACTCAAATTGCAGACTATTGGATAAGTATGATCCTGGGGGACTTGTCAGTACCTCTGCTTCCATCCTTGTCTGATTCAATACTTTTGCCAGTGAATATGGAGAGGCAATGAGCAGTTGTTTAAAGAGTACAGGGTTTGGAATGAGAAAATCACTGATAATCTAAGCTCTCAGGTATTGAATAGGCTCATAATAAGTGAAGGTGATATGCGCTACTGAAGTTTTAGGATTAAATAAGGGTATATGGACTCATTTATCTGTTCAACAGTTACTGAATTCCTACTCATATGATAGGCTTTGTGCTAAGTGCTGAATAATTACTCCTTTTCTTTGGATGATGACGTTGGTGTGTGATCAGATTTTCAAATTATTCAGTGTCTAGAGAGAGAGCTATAGAGTGGAACACTTGGGACTTGGGATCAGAATTAAGGTGGAACAAGAGACCAGATATAATCAGATGGAAGTTTAACCGCAGAAAATGCAAAGTCTCAGGTAAATAAACTCTAGAATCTAATGTATGGAGTGCTTGTATAACAGCAGTTGCTGGCACAGCCCTCTCAGCTGACTTGTGCTTGATGTTGATCAACAGTGTGATGGTGTCCGGCTGCAGTGTTTACTGGAGCTACAGTGTCCTCTGTGAGTCACGTGATAGAGAGGCCCGCAGCCTTTTAGGTTATCACAGGACAGCTTAAAGATTGTGTTCAACACTGGGCCACACCTTGAAAGGATCCATACATTGGAGTAGGATGGTTGGGGCATTTGAATCCCTGTGATGGGGAATGCATCAAGGAAATGAGGCTGTTTACGTAGGAGACAAGATTGGTCAGAGTGGAGAGAAGGGTTTATAGGGTCACTCTATGCAAATATTTGCTTTCCTATCTTGTGAAAGAGGAATCAGATGTGATCTGTGTGAGTCTAAAGGGCAGGTTTAAGGAGGCAGATATTTGACACAATCTAATAATTAGAGTTGTCTGAAAATGGCTTGGGTTGCCTTGGGAAAGTAGTCAGTTCCTGTCATGAGAATAGCTTGATTTTAACTATTTGACACACAGTTGCACTTTGCTAGTTTGGATTAGATGAGTGTAAATTTCCTTTTCATCATTATTTGCCATCCTCATATATTAACTATTAATTCAATTAGGGTAATTCCCCAGCCACCCTCAACAAAGAGTGTAGGTTCTTTTCTTTGCATTCCATAGGTACATCTTTGAAAAGGCAAGTTCCATAAAACTAAAATTGATGTGAAGTGGTTAAGAATATTAAGAAAGTTTTCCCTACTAAAATACCAGGGCAATTTTCACATATGTATATTCAAATATATCATATTGAGTTTTATTGAATGCTTTTTGATAACACGCTTATTTTACTTTATTAACTGTGCTAATGATTCTCTGCTTCTCTTTTTGTAAGTAATACACTTTTGTTGAAAATACTGTAGCTTTTAAAAAAATTGCTCATAACTGTATTTTATACTCTTCAAGAACAGCAATACTAAACTAGTTTTTTGGGACACACTGATGTATTGATCAGTTATGAGTTGTCCTATGACATCTAATTAAGATATTCTGAGTACTGAAGGTTCCAGAATGATTTGTTCTTTTTAAAATTAGAAATGGTTCTTATCTATATGCTTCTTATATGGAGAGAAATGGGTGGAATTAAAGACATCTCGCTAAGAATCGTGCATAACCCCCTCGAACACTTATGAGATAACATGGAGGCAGAAAAAGGCCTGTGATATTGGACTTATAATTCTTACTCAGTAGGAATTGATTGCTCCATAGGGGAGACCAGTTCCAGTGATCATCTTGTAGTATGATTCTGATAGGATGAAATTAAAAGATCATTAAAAAATAAAAAATGGTCCAGATGATACCAGTAGGTTCAGCCCAGTGTGATACCAATTAGTGCATTTTGGTGTGAAATACTTGGATGTAGACATAGCAATTTTTGGTTATTAGGCTGCTGCTGGCAGTTGGTAATATGGGCTTGTATATATATAAAACTAGGCCTTATGATGTTTAGTAACTACTTGTCTCCAGTTTGTTGGGACTGTCATACTATCTGTATTGGTTTCCAGAAGCACTTTTTAGGTTCGTTCCAACATGGTCTTCCTGATCATGTATTTGACATACCATCACTCAGCTCCCAGGTGGCCCAGATGAGTGAGCTGTTCAGCCAGGAGTTAGAGCTGCCCTTCCCACATCCCAGAAATTTCCCTCTCTTTCCATTTGCACTCCATTCTCCTGAAAGGGTAATGGTGTCTTTACAGGGAACTTAATTTTTAGTGTAGAAATTGTGATTCTTTGAAGTGAAAGAAGTATGAACGGTGCTTTCAGAAGCTTTCAACCCCCTAGATAAAAGTTTTTGATTGTATTTCTGAGTTGTTCTTTGTGAAACATTTATTAGATAGCATTAGTATACGTAACAACGTTCTCTTAGGGTGTGTGTGGGGAAGTCGCATCTGGTTTTCAGATGCAGAGTTATGTATAAACACTGTGCCGTGGGACTCATCTGACTGAATGGGGAGCACGCCTCGCCTGTAGTGAGGCTCATCCCGGGTCTCGCTCACTCCCTGTGTCACTTTGGGCAGCTTCACCTAACTGTTGGAATTGTGATCCGTGTGAGTGGCATGAAGCTCTTAGGAAAAAACATACCATGTAAATCTTCAGTAACACTTTATTTTCACAGGTTAGCTGAATCTTATTACTTTATTATAGAAATAAGAATTCTTGCTGTCTATATATGTTACAGCAGTCTTGGGTTGGAAAAAACAAATCTGTCATCTGGCTAATACTTAAGAATGCTTAAGATTTTCAAACAGCCAAAGTTCAGAATAGTTAAGTTTCTGTGTCCTTGACATTCTTCTGCTATTATCAGTCTTAGACCACTCCAAAGTTCTTCTTTATTTTCTTTTCCTTTTGGTCAAAGGGTAGAAAAACGTGACTTGCTGCGGTGCCCTGCTCTTCACAACTGCTTGCCTTTACTCAGCTAGTATTTATTTCGAGAGATGATTCCTGTGAGAGTCATCACCAGTGGGGAGGGTTAATGTTTCACTTTTCCCACATAAACCTGAATAAGGGAAATTTCAGAAAAGAACAGCCACAAATCTGTTTGAAACCCGATAGGGTGACTTTTTTGGTTCTTATTTTCTTTGGGGACAGTTTGATTTTTTTTTATTGAAATGAGAAGTATACAGAGGATAGTCTTAAACTGGAAGTAAGGGAAAGGGTTCATCTTGGTATATGTAAAATAAAAAGTGAAGCAGAGAAAGCATAATTTTCATGGAGTATTAGATTTGGAAAGAAAGAATAGAGTTCATCTAGTCCAGCCTCCTACTGGTGAACAAACACTCATTTTGTTTTTATAGAAAAAACTATTTGAAGTTGGAAACAGGAATTTGGATTTGAAAATACTTTGTTGCCTGATTATTTTTGCTTTATCTATTATAGATTTTTTCCCTAGTTGAATTATATTTAACTAAACTTTCATATCTACAAAAACTTAAATATATTTACATTTATGAGTTATTTAGAGCTGTCATGGTTTTTTATACCATTGAATGAATGAATCATAGGTAGGAAGGGAATATTTTTATTTAGGTTGGAAGCCATTCAGATGAATAGTTTATTATAATTTTTAAATCACTATTTGATTATTGTGCAGGGTAGCTTTAAGGTAGATATGATTTTTCATCTCCTTTCCGAAAATACCACCCTATATGTTCCATTCAGGCTGGAGCTTGTCTTATTTGCTCTGATCAGTGTCTGCCACAAATATGTGAACATCTATATATGTTTGGGTGTCATTCTCAAATGCTTTTAGAATTGTGTATAAATCTGTACTTTGCTCTTTTTCTGTGAATTTTTGTTCTTAGCTGTTAAAAATCAAGGGAGTAATACTTACCCCAGTTTTGTAGTATAAAGAACCAAAGGAATTATTTTTGTTGTCTTGAAAAAAATAACAGTTTTAAAAGGATGTTCACTAAATATTGTGAAATCATCATTCTACCCAGGGAGCTATGTTTGCAACTAGACTGTTGCTTCAACTTGCAGATGAAATTGAGAGATTTATAGTTGATTTTTTTAAGAGTTCAGCTTGTTAAACTTCACTGTCCATTTTACCTTCATTACTGGTATCATACCACATCCTTATAAATTCATCAATAACATTTCTGTATAAATACCTGTCATGTTGAGATGCATTGATTCAGCAGATAACCACAAACACAAACTTTGTAAAGTAGATTGTTATATTTCCAGAATGTATATTGTTAGCCATTTTTTATGGGCATAGTCTTGATCACCATGATGTAATCAGAGAGATGTAATCAGCATTGAGAAAAAAGAAAACATGAGATGTGATGAAGGAGAAGTGGCTGCGTAATTGGCTGGGTATATTTAATACATTAAAAAATAGGATGCTGTGGACACGTCTTACTCTGTCAGTCCTGTTTCAGAGATCTGAAAATTGTCAATGCTTTGTCCATTGATACGGATGTCCAGATCAGTCCTGTTTGGGCTCTTAGAGACCAGAGGAGTTGGAAGTTCAGGAACAATCTTGTCAAAATTCTCCATCTTGATTTGATATTCACCTTTGGAACTTCGGGTCAACAGAGATGCAAAACAGTGATGTAACATGATCTCGGAGGGTAGGTAGGATGTCCTCCTTTGGCATATTTCTCCAGTGCCTTCCTGCATTGCTGAAAGGAACACAACTAATTCAAAGTGGGGAGGATTTTCACGCTGGAGCAGAGTAGCCAGAGGACTCGATGGTGTAATGGAGTGATAGTAGGTTAGTGGAAAGATAAAGAATGGACATTCCTCAGAACTGATGCCATCAAGGTGGAAATCCACACTGGTCTGGTAGAGTTTGCCGTTTTCTCTTTCCTGATAGAGTACAGCTGAGACCCGAACACTGGTTAGAGGGCTAGGTCGAGTGTTGGCCACTTGGAAAATCAGAGTAGGTTTGCCATCTGTGTGAGCTACTACTGCTAAATCAGTAAAACGAATTGAGAAAGCGCGATTTTTTGGCCGGGCAATCTTCGCCACAAAGGCACCTAAATTAGAAATCATTGAATTTTTTTTTTAGAATGAACACTTTAAAGATTAATACCTTTTCTAAATGAGAAGGATATATCAAATAGTTATATATTTCTTGGTGCTCTGCCTTCCAAATAAGTCAGGAATTGAACTCATTGTTAATTTGGGTAGTCTCATTTGCCTGAGAATTTACATCTATTCTTATTTAAAAACTATGATTTCAAAATGGATAAGCAAAATTCATTTTGTTACATAGAAATGTAAAACTTTATCCTTTAGTTTTTTATAAAGTTAAAGAATGGTCATTTCCTATATTCCTGCCCTACTTAAAAAAAAAGGTAACAGAAAATAAATGCAATTTACTCGCAACCAGATTACTTCAAGTTGAAGTAGAGATTAGATTCGGAGTAGAATGATTTGGTGCGGGGAGGGGATCATTAGAATGCGTGTTACATTGAAGAATTGTTTTAACTTTGAAACTTGTGCAGACTTTTTGTACAAGTTTAGGCTCTGGCTCTAAGGTGATTTCAGTGCACCTTTCAAGCGCATCCTCCTTGTGCCCTCGAGCTGTATGGATCAGGGTTTTGTTTTGGCTTTTTTTCCTCCTTCTTTTCCCCAAAGCCCCCCAGTACATAGTTGTGTATTCTAGTTGCAGGTACTTCTGGCTCTGCTATGTGGGACACTGCCTCAGCATTACTTGATGAGCAGTGCTAGGTCCATGCCAGGAACTGAACCGGCAAAACCCTGGGCTGCTGAAGTGGAGCCTGCAAACTCAGTCACTGGGCCATGGGCTGGCCCCTGGAACAGGGTTTTTTTTTAAACCGCTTTTGTGCCACAGACCTTGTTGGCAGACTGGTGAGATCTATGGCTCTCTTATCAGAATTATACTTTAAATGCATAAAAATAAAATATATACAAAAGAAATCAAATATATTGAAATCCAATTAAACTTTTAAAAAATTGTAATATAGTACTATATGTGCTTTTTTTTTCCTCCTGAGGAAGACTGGCCCTGAGCTAACATCCGTGCCCATCTTCCTCTACTTTCTATGTGGGATGCCTACCACAGCATGGCTTGCCAAGTGGTGCCATGTCCGCACCCAGGATCTGAACCAGCCAACCCCAGGCCACTGAAGTGGAACATGTGCACTTAACCGCTGCACCACTGGGCCGGCCCCCTATGTGTGCTTTATTAATATATTAAATAACAAAATATAGTGGTGGGGTTAGTAATTTCGAAGTACCTTAGTGTGATATAAGCATATCTGTAATTTCTGTTTGTATCAAAGTTACAGGTATTGCTGATGCTATTGTTTTTTGTTGCCTACATTTATAATCAAAGGAAGTGTCAAATTTTAGTTAGAGGTTAGTGAAAAAAGTTGCAAGTTTTTCCTGTCTAAGTCCACAGATCCCCTAAATGTTATTTAATGACTACTCCAGCTTAAGGACTCTTGTTGTAAAGGTTAAGTGATTTTTTTTTTTACAGGTTATAGAGCCAGTTAGTAGCACCCTGGGACTTCATTCCAGATCATCCTTCTTATGGCCTGTTGCTTACCTTCTCACATTATTATTGGGTAGTGTGTTAAAACCAGGTTTTCTTTTTGTTTTTGTTTTTTTATTTTTTAATTGTATATGTTACTTATAAAATTACGGTAGCCCTTCTTTATTAGAGGAAAGAGTCTTATGTATTATCAGGTTTATAAGCAGAATTTCAGAATCTTTGGCCATATTGCCAGTGCATTTTGCTAAGGATGTGTATATTTGTTCTCTAACATGTAATGCTGACTATGGTACTCAGGGCTCAATAGTATTGAGTCAGTGTTGAAAAGATGAACTCAAAGGAGAAAATTCTAGCCCAGTAAAGAAAAAAAATCAAATTCCTCTGTTAGGTAAAATGACTGTCAAAATATGCGTTGAACTTATCCACTTATTTAACAAAATATTTAGCTTCTCTGAAAAATTCCTTTTAGACCTTTTGTTAATATTTTTTTGGCATAAGATGTTGCTACAAGTTAGTGTCATAGTGATCCCTTTTTTCTTAAGAAGTTCCAATAGGTAAAATCTAAGTATAGGATCAAGTTTCTTATAATTTCTCCTGTAATTTTCTTATCATTTGGCCCTAGACTCTTTCTTTTCGATCTCAGGCGTTACCTGCTAATAATGCAAAAAAATTATCCTTTAACACAGTAGCTTATAACTGACTGTATCCTTTCCAAAACATTTGTAATTTTTTTAAGAACAAAAACAGTTACCTGTGATGAAAGCCTCTAGCATGAGGCCTAGGAGCATTTGTATGGCAAGTAGGGCGATTGCACTTGGACAGTCACCACTGGGGAACATGGTACCATAACCGATTGTCAGTTGTGTCTCCAGGGAGAAGGAGAATGCAGCTGTGAAACTGGTGATATACTTAACACAGATAGTGTGGTTTTCAGGCGGGGCATCATGATCTAGTTCCAGATCACCATTCATCTCAGCTAGCACATACCAGAGCACTGCAAAGACAAGCCAGTGGATAACAAAAGAAGCAGAAAAGACCAACATCATCCAGCGCCAGCGCATGTCCATTAGGATTCCCCAGGCATCTCGGAGATAGGCAAGACCTCTTTGAGCGCCGTCCATTTGGAGTGTGCTGTGGCCATCCTTGGTGACCATCCTCCGGTATCTCTTAGTTAGGAGAGGAGCAATGACTTTGCAATTACTGCCATCCATCTCAGGCTGTAAATCTCTGAAAGCAAGAGTAAATTAGTGAGCCCTTAACTGTTTTATAGTTAATATTAAATTCTGAGATCTCCGTCACCTTGTAACATCTTTGGAATGCTTCACTGACTACTGGGCAGGCTTTCCCAGTCTGACACCTGTCTCTCATTTCTCGTTACGTAAGGGGGCATTTACTAAGTCATTCATTGATAGCTAATGATGGGTTACCTTAGGATATCTCTTACTGTTTCCATGAATGACTGTTAAAATATTTTCTGGCATTTTAACATTTCCAAGTGTATATTAAAATCCGTGAGGGTTGGGATTATGGTTCATGTCTTTTTGACCCCATGTATCTTTCTTTTATACAAGTCCAGGCATCAGGTATTTATTAATTTGACTAAACATGATGTCTAAATAACTTTTCATAACTAATTAATAGTTTGTAACATTAAAAGGAATGTTAAATATATGTGTTCCTCTGTGTAAATAAATAGAAATCATTTCGAAATGTAATGTTAAACTGTCTGCAAATGTTTTGAAGTCAATCTTAGTGCTGGGACAAGACTAAGCTTTTAGAGAGATTTTTTTTTTTTTTTTTTTTTTTTTTGCTGAGGAAAATTTGCCCTTAGCTGACATCTGTGCCAGTCTTCCTCTGTTTTGTATACAGATTATCACCACAGCATGGCTGCCAACGAGTGGTGTAGCTCTGCTCCTGGGAACCAAACCTGGGCTGCCTAAGCAAAGCACACCGAACTTAAGTACTAGGCCATGGTGCTGGACCCTAGAGATCCATAGTTCTAATGTATGCTTTATAATTAGCCTATTGAAAGTTTTGTGATTAGATTTTATTTGTTGTTGTTGCTTTGTGACCATATTCATGGAGTCTTTCCTTCCCTGGCTGATGGCTTGCTGCCCTTTTGAATATTCTAGATGGCTTGCTGCCCTTTTGAATATTCTAGATTCTGATTAGATTGTGAAGTGGAGAGAAAATTATTTTCTTGGCAAAATAAAAAATTCCAGGTAGAGATTCCTAGATAATACTAGTTTTGAAAATAAATCAGAAGAAAAAGTTTCAAGTTTAATGAACTAAAATAATCATTAAGACATTAAATGGCAATTTTTAAAAGATAATATAATTAGCTTTTCACTATAAACCATTTTCATCAGTGGTTAGACTTTTCTCTGTGTGATGAGTGGAGTCTAATGTGTGCTTTCCATGTGACCATCCTTGCATATGACAAGTGTGTAGAGGCCACCAGGAACAGAATGGAAAATGCAGCTTCACTTCCCTGAGTGCACCTCTCTTGTTTGCCACAAGCCAGTCCTAGGAGTTTATATTTGACTCTTTTCCTTCTTTCTTCCTTCAGAAGTAGATGCGCTTGGCACTGTTGCATATCCCCTTCCTACCTTTTGAATGACAGTGACGCTTAAGAAGGGGACGGGAGGCCTGTGGAGCTAGGTTGTTGCTTGGGTTTGCCGGGTCCTTCCTGTGTCTAGGGACACTGGGGCTTTGGAGACTGCCTTCCTGTGTTTTGGAACTGGACATTGACCAGCTGGGTATATACTTTTCCTTTCGTCCTCAGGCTAATGTAACATTTATTGATTTTTAAAATTTATTTAGATTAGATGGCCATTTTGGTTTCATATTATAAACTTAAAAAAATATTAGGGTATTCATGTTTTATAATTTGTCATCCTAACAAGTTGTCATTATCATTTTATTTAGTGTATTTTTTTTTCTTCATACAGCTGTTTAATGACTCATTTTGCTAGATTCTTTAAATGTTTTAGGAGACCTGATCTCTGCCCTTTTGGAAATCATAACAGCAACAACAGAATATTCATAGGCACTGTGCTAGGTGCTTTCATATGGCGTTATCTTTAATTCTTTGGTATGTCAGCAAGATAGACATTATTAGCCCATTTTTCACATCAGATCACCAAGGATCAGACAGATAAAAGAAACCTACACAAGGCAGATGGGGGCCTTGGATTATTTGAATTATTATCCAAATCTGGCTGACTTCACAGCTGGTTAATTTTTTACTAGAAGAAGGTGTCTCTTTAGAGAGTTTGGTGAAATAAAAGTCTTTCCCCAGATGATTGGTATTGCATTCACAAAATAGTCTTTGACAACCAGATTTTTAGCTCCTTTAGTAGGTGTTCTTCTTGTCCCCATAACTGTCTCAAGTATCTACTTTAAACCATTGTTAATTTTATACATGATTCTTACAACAGTAACAGTTAATAATAATAGCTAAGATATATTGTTTATTCTGTACTAGGAATCATACCAAACACTTCACATGTGTTAACTCATGTGAGGCCAATAGGCAATGCCTGGCACAAAGTAATTTCTCAGTAAGTATTACTTGCTTTTTTGTTATTAATGATGTTTCTTAATTTTCCCAGTAATAAGTACTGTTATTATTCCCATTTTACAGATAGTAAAATTGAGACCTAGTAAGTTTCCTAAGGTCACAAAGTGGTGGTGAACTCCACACTGAGTCCAGAGTCCAGAGTCAGTGCTGTATTGCCTCAAAAATAGACATTTTGACCCTGGTTAGCTTTCATGAAACACAGTGTTCCATTTGACTAGTTTTGTTCAAGAGCCACCACAGAATATTTGTTCTTCAGGAATGCTTAGGTTCAAACCTGTGATTTGTAGGCAGGAAATATGTTTCCAGTTAAGGAAGACATCTTAGAAGATTTGAAGATTAGTACAGTCAGAGTTATTACACAGTCTAGTCTTGGATTCCGTAGACCAGTAGAATTAAAACACGGAGAAGGGCGTTCTTCTCACGTAGTGTTGCCAAATTTGTATTCTGCCAGGTGAGAAAATAATTGAAAAAATACAATACTATCATCATAATTTTATAAAAGAAAAGACATTTTGACACTTGAAGAGGAAGAAGGCTCTATCAGTAAAGGATAGTTGGCTGCTCTCACAAAGGTTGTGAACCACTGCATGGTTCTGCGTTGTCCACGGCATTGTGTTTTATTGTTTCTTGTTTCCTGCCTATGTGAAAATGCCCACCGTGGACCTGTACACTAGTGCTTGTTCCATTTATGGAACCACTGGTTACTTACTGTTTCAGGATACTTTTAGGGTAAGAAAGCTCCATTCTTCTTCTTGATTTTCAGCCTACTTTATTAAAGTTCTAAAATTCATTATCTAGTGAGATAGCCTTTCTATACATACTATAGCCAACAAAATTAATTATTCTCATTTAGGTCTTTTCAGGGATGTTACTTGTTAACCTGTACTTTTGTAGCACTCTTGTTCTAGACTTTTACAATTTCATCCTTTTTTCTCTTGCAACTAAATAACTAAACCCATGGAGAAACCTGTGAACAGGGAAGTCAAAAGGCTAATATCAAAACAGTGAAGCAGTACCTTTTTTATATATAAAACCTTGTTAGATCTTGTTTAGATTGTGTTGGGAAGTGAAGTAGTTGTGAGAAGTAAGATTTTGATCCCCACTTAACAGATTAGCCTGAATAAGTCTATTCTTTGGACTCATGTAGTCAGTGTGGTTTAGTACAATGAAGACAAGGTGGGTAATCCAGCCCTCCAGGCCCTGGCTCTATTGGTTACCTACCTGCGTCAGTTTGGACGAGCAATCTCTTTGGCCAGGCTTCCTTATATTAAAAAAAGAAAGAAAGAAAAGAGGGCAATAACATGATCCCTAAAAACCCTGCATGTTTGTAAACTTAGTACCATTTCCTTCAGCTGATAGAAATTTCCTGCATGATTTTTTCTTTTTTTCTATATGATTTTATGTCTGCTTGTATGGTATTTAAAAAATTGTATTATTGTTGCCTGATACATGTAGATTTTCTTTCCATCAGATTTAAAAGTGTCTGATAGACAGATGTTATGTTTATACTATTATGTTTCCAAGTAATTTTCATATCTCCACAGGCATACAAGTACTTTTTGAATGTATTTGTCTTGGTTTGTATTTATATGATTCTCATCAAGTGATCCCAGTAGAAAGTAGAATTGAAGCTTGGGAAGGTTGACTTGTATCTCTGTGTGTGGGCTGTAAAATATTTGCCCATTTATAAACTGTTGGTGGAAAAATAGTACTTTATAAAAGTGATAGTTTGGTTGCTTCATTTGATGCCAGAATAATGGGTTCATTCTACTCTTTAGGTTGTAGCACTTAAAATTATGTCTTTTGTTACCATGTTGTAATGTAGTGATGTAGTTCATATTAAACAGTTACTATATAGACTATAACTACAAATGTTAAATGCTTACAGTATTACTAAGTTTGTTCAAGTCTGGTGTAAACACTTGAAGACTGTAGAGAGTCTTAGAATCATCTCCCTTGCTTCCGTAATTAGGGCAAACAGTGTGCATTCTAACTATTATATAAGCTCAGGGATTCTTTGATATTTTAATTTCTTATTTGCAGAAGCATCTAATTTCAGTAATAATTCCATGCTTAAAAAGAATTTAAAATTAGGATACTCATCACTTTTTTCACGGATTAAAAAAATAAAAAAGTGATTTTTTTTTTTGGTATGTTCATTTTGGATTTCTTTAAGCCTTTCCAAAAGAGGAAGATATATTTTTTAAAAGGCCTCTGAATTTTTTTCTAGGGCCTTTCTCTTCTACTCATTTCTATATTATAATGGAGAATTAGTATACATTTAATAAACAATTAAGAAAATTTCCAGTAATGCTTTCAGAAGGGCTATTATTCTATTTCTAAAATTTAAGGAAAAAGAATAAAGAACCTTAATGTATGACCCTGTAAGTAATGTCTTTGTTTTAAAATTCTATTGGCAATATCTAGCTCTGTCTCTATTTGCCAATCAGTTTCTGTCTCTGTTCCCCTTAAGGAAAGAAATAAGAATGAATATTATTTCATGTACTCACCAGTTCTTTTGCTGGGTCAGCCTGTATGCTCAGGTAGGTCTTGAGGAAACTTTTGGAGTCTGTCTTTTTGATGAGGTAATTTTAATCTACAAGTCTATTTTGTGGGTTCTCCTCTTGGACTGGGCTTACCGTTCACATTCCTCTGTTTATAATGTCGTGAGGGCTGCTTTCAGCTGAAGCTGATGTGATTGGTCACTTAGTCTGCAGGGGGGCCAATTAGCTCTGATCATGTGGAAAAGAATGCTGGTTTGTTAGGAGGTCTTTCTTTACCCAACACAAACCTTAAAAACTCTGGAGAAAGCCTCCAGAACTGACTTGGAGAAGGGGTGCATTTTTTCTCTCTAATCAGGACCGGTCTTTAGTAAATTTTCATAATCTTACTTAAGAGTTTATTTAAAAGTTCAAAGGGATAAAATTCCCTGCAAGATTTCCTTTCGGCCGTCTTACCTTATATAGCGTGCTGAAGTGTGAGAGATTTCCTTTACTGATGTTTTTTTCTCCATTTCTTTGGGGAAGATTTCCTTGGATAAGGACTTGTAGGTATGAATTAATGAATTGATTTTACTAGTTTTTTTTGCATATCCCATCTCATCAGAATGGCTACCACTAATTCTAGAACTAGTAATGTAGGTAACTTAGTTACCTGAAATCTTTTTTGGGGTGGGGCAAGGAGGCAGACTTTTTTTTTTTTTTTTTTTTTAAGGCTATGTACAGAGACCTTGAATAAGAATAAACTAATCGTTTGGTACCTTGTACTTGTACTTATGGTTAAAAAACACACCTATGTGAAGAACTGATGGTCTTAGGTATGCTTTAGTAATATTTAGGGGAAGTTTCCCTGAGAAGTATCATGACAAGCAGTAAAACTTAGTGTTCAGGGTACAGAGCATTTAACTTAACGTCTAAATAGTGATTAGCTGGAAAACGCCTGTGAGCCAGTTTGTAGCAACCTCAAAATGAGCTGTGGGATGGCTTTGAATAATGCCTTACTGAACGGTACTTTTCTCCACCTCCGTTAGCTGCTGATTTTAAAACTTTGATCAAATGTCACATGTAAGAGGATCGGGGAAACAAAGGCTGTGATTGTTCAAAGTAAAATCATGGAAGGCCTGCTGGGAAAATTATTAATGTAGACCAATATAATGCTACTTAGAAAGTGAAATCCGCCTTTGTAGATTCCTTTTCCTCCCGCTACAATTAAAAAAAATATTAATTCCTTCTTTGTTTTATTAATGCCGAAGATTTCAATACAAGTTCAGACACAGCATTGGAAACTTTGACCTTCATAACTAGAGAAGGTAGAAGCATAAAGGAGAGACTTGTATGTAATGCTTGTTCCCTGCGTGTACTGGTAGGAATTATACTTTATATCAGTTGCTGGTTAGCTGACTGGGGGGAAAAAAGCCAGAGTAAATATAGTGTAACACTGCCTTTCAGAAAGCAGAAGTACCGGAGTGTCTGCCCTGTGTCTTAGATAGACGTTATAGTAAGCAAGATAGTGAAGGATTTTACCAAACTTAGAAGCTCTTTCCATAATATATTCTGTTTCAGAATATATGGAGGCAAAAATGATTTGGCAAGTGAAGGAGTGTTCAGCTTTCTGAATTTCTACAATTTGAAAGTCTGCTATGGTCTATTAGACAGTGATTCCTAATTGCTAACTCTCTATTGGTAATTGTATGGATATTGTAGACCAGCTCTGGAGTGCCCACTCAGGAGCATAGCACTCTCATTATAATAGCCTGAGCAGTTAAATTCATTTCCGGTTGAGGTTGCCAGGTCAGCTGAGATTAAACTGATACTGGCATAGATGATATACCGACTTCACCCTAAAACACATGGGCCCTCCCATCTAAATACAATTAGTGCTTTCATTTGGAGATGGCTCTAAAACATCTCTTCTGTGAATGAACATAAATACTAGGTATCTGTTCATTGATTCATTTATTTTTATTAAAACTTACAATGATTAAGCAAGGTGCCCAAACCAGGTACATTACTCTTTATTAAATTCAATTCTCTGCCCCTAAAGGCGTTTGATTTTCTTTCTAGTTGAAGTAATCTAGTATATAATTCATAGTTGTACCACGTTGTCCTTGAAAACAACAAAACCTTTAGTTTGAGCGCAATGTCCTGCCTATGTACGTAGATAATCTCCCACTTTAAGCCTTTACCTGATCTCCAGTGTTCACTCTTACACCGTATATTTAGGTTTCCAGTTTTGCCCTCAAGCCCACCTACTGATTGTCTTCCCCAGAGATTTCCGGCAGCGTCTGGGTGTATGCCAGCAGACGACTAGGATGAGCCTGTAAGGGCTATGGGGCATATTCAAACCACATGAGATGGTTTTTCAAAGAGATTCTGATATGCTGCAGCCCCTCCAGTCTCCCTTGCAGCCATGAACTGCTAGTTTTCAGGACCCATGTTAACCAGTGGAACATTGTTACCCTTCGGGGGTTAGGATGGGAGAAAAGTTGCAAATCTCTGGATATAGAATTTAAACTACTCCATCCTAACCACCCTGAGTTTTGTTTACAAGTAATTAAAAAAAAAGTAAATGTCAACACTTGAATGGGATTTCCTTTCACTGTTTTCTCTGGTATTAGAAAATATTTTTAGTGTTGATCAGAGAATATATATCTGAATGAAGGACTACAAAGTTACTCATTAGAGAAATTTGCACATAAACAAGCTTCAAAGTCTGTCCCATAATTCCACTTTTGCTTTTGGAGTTTGGGCACTTGTAAGTTCCAAGTCTCGCAGCTGTAGATTTTGTTGGCTGAGTGCCTCTTTGCTCCATCTGAAGTTTTCCATAAACACCATTTTTGGCTGTGTGTCAAACATGCACACAGGTGCCCTTTTACTGCTCTTTCTCCTTAGGAAGTCCACTCAATTAGACCAGACTAAAACCAATACTGCATTTTAATTTAACTTTATTTTTAGAAGAATCCTATTCAGACTTAATACATTAAGACTCAAACAACCAGGTATTTACTGCCATTGAGGAAAATATTTATATATGTAGTACATACGTATTTTAGCACTTTTTATACATCTTGAGTTACTGTTGATGTAAGGACGTAACATGTATTATACAGATAGTATAGTTTGCTCACAAAACAGTCATGTTTACTATATTGAATAGAAAAAAATGTTTTTTTCGTGGAGGGTAAGTAATCTTACCCTTCTCAGTGTGTGTACGTGAGGTCCTTAAGCAACAGTAATGCTCAAGAGACTGAAGTTTGGTACTAAGCGTATTTCGAGAGAAGAAGTGAGAATAGCTAGGCCCCTCCATAAAGATAGTATAATTGCTTGAAAAAGGAAATCTTCCTTTTCAAATTCTTTATAGCATTATCTGGGTCAGTAGGGAACCAACCTAGGTGTCCATCACCAAGGAAGCATAAGCAGGGAGGTGTGCCAAACCAACCAAATAAGGTCTATAACATAATTCCACTTAGGTAACTAAACATGCATCCAGCATTTTACATGAGATTATTTAAATGAGTGTAGTAGTCCCCTTATCAATGGGGAATATGTTCCAACACACCCAGGGGATGCCCAAAACCACAGATAGTGTATATATAGAGTTCAGTTATATTTTTTCTTATACATAAAAAAATACATCTTAAGTTTGTGTTTCTTTTGTGACCTTTTGAAGGTCATAGATACTTTTAAGATTGACAAAAACCATAGACCCTTTTTTCTGAAAAAAGTAAAAGGCATGCTAGCATAATATGTGGTTCCAGTTCAAGGATTCCTAACCCACAAGCTCATTTATTGACTATAGGTTAGGAATATTTGGTTCAGGCATTAACTTGTAAATTATTCAATTACATTTTCTTTTAAATAATCTTGTTTATGAGTTAATCTGTTAAGATTTAAAAAAGAGGTCAACTAAAATATTTGCTCGCTCAACTTTCTCATGGGGCTGATGTTATAGAATGAGGAAGACTTTGATTTTAAATGCTGAGAAAGGCCATGTGGTTGTCCCTCACTAGCCCTGATCACTGTGGAGTCCTAGAATTTTTAGACATAAAAGGAACTTTAGATGTTCTCTTTAAGATGCCCATAAATGACTTTAATATTTGTCATTTATTTTAAATTATATCAGTAATAACACAAATATATATGTATTTTTAACTTAGATTATACAGATGAAGTTCTCTTTGACACCTTCACCCCCCCAGGTTTACAAAAATACAAGTCTAGGGGCCGGCTCCGTGGCCAAGTGGTTAAGTTCCCGCGCTCCGCTGCCGCAGCCCAAGGTTCGGATCCTGGGCACGGACATGGCACCACTCGTCAGGCCACCCTGAGGTGGCTTCCCGCATCCCACAACTAGAAGGACATGCAACTAAGATATATAGCTGTGTACAGGGGGGGGTTTGGGGAGATAAAGCAGGGAAAAAAAAGGAAGATTGGCAACAGTTGTTAGCCCAGGTGCCAATCTTTAAAAAGAAAAAAAAAAAAGAAAAAAAATACCAGTCTACAGTAATCATTTAGGTTATAAAGGATTTATTTTATAATGTTTTAGAGCAATTCTTGCATACAATGTAACTTTTAGTTATATTGGTAGTAATTGGAAGTGTATATTTTATTAGATGGTGCTTGAAGTCATTTTTTCCCCCTCAAAATAATTTCTGGAGTAAAATTTTTATATTGAAGAAGTTGGTCTTAACAGTTTTTTAGGGGTTTATATTTTAACATCATTTCTGCTGGAAAATTAACAAATTTAGTTCCATCCTTCCACTTTTAGGGATGTTGACAGTCTGTCTCCCCAAGATGTTCCACTCATGGTATGCCTGTTGCCCTTTTAGAGCTTGTCACACTTAGATCCCAGATCTTCCTCTTCCTACTTAAGTTTTTGTAGAATTTCTGGCTGCTTCTGATGGGTTTAATTTGTAAGTAAGCCCTGGGTCAGGCATTTGAATACCTAGGTTCTGCTTCTGATTTGGTCACTACTTAGGTATATGACCTCAGGAAACCCCCCTCCAGGTATTTGTTTCTTCACAGGAACAAATAGAGTTGATAATGTTTGACTTAACTCTTGTGGTTATTATGAGGATCAGATGCGATACATCAGTGCGTTTTGTCAACTCAAGTTTATTAAGTTATTAATTCACTTGTGTGTCCCTGGCCTGTGGGCCTAGAGGGTAGGTCTATGGCTAATTCTTTTCTTTATTTTTAATCCTGTGTCTTTAATTGTGTTTGTCCATAGAGGAGGCATTCATGATAATGTTTGTT